TACATGTATTTTGTTGATACTTTATTTTGATTATTATTTATATTTTATTATTATTTTATTTAAGGGTTGCATCTGCATCATAGACTTTAATATTCCCAGCAGACTTTTCTTCCGTGAATTGGCACTTTGAACCCAGCTGTTCTTTGGTATTGAAAACATTCTGTGTTCCACAGTAAAATTATGCATGAGTAATGAATAATGAGTAATTACGCAGTGTGTTTATGTCTTAGTTAATTGTAGGCATTGGATTTTTTGTTTATCAGTTAAAGCAAATGTTGCCTGTTCTGTGTTTTTGTCTCTCTATTTTCATGTTAAGGTATTGAAATAAGTTTATCGAGTCTACACATCAATTTTAATAATGTAAATTCCTGCTTGTTAGCTTTCCAGTGACTGACATTGCTAGTTGAGATCATCTACATATCTGATAGCTCAGGCCGTAAAGTGAAAGCAGTTTCTGCTGCTACTCAAAATTCCAAAAGTGAAAAGGTGCTAAAAGGAGGCTCCGGTGCGGATGCAGTGAGAGGGATACTAGGTGGAAAAGGACTTTAGGCAAGCAAAACCACATTTGTGTGGCTTGTGTTGTACTAACATTCAGGAGACATTTATTTTTGTGATATGTTGTGATATGACTTCTAGAAAAAAATCTGTTGTTACAATCATGTATAGAACTCTAAGCCTGAGGACTGTGTGCAGATGTGTGAAGCAGCACATACCACTGTGATGCAAAGGTTAGAGCGCACAAAAGAGAAAACAAAGGTGAAATATTTTGTGCAAAGGGTTTTTCTGGGGAGTGGGTTGGGTATATGTGTGTGACAGAAGTTGTTGCTTAAGATTTTCCTGTGAGTTGAGATACTGTGATTAGTTCTTCATGCTATTGTGCTCTCTTCAGAGAGATGAAGTGCAATCCATTAGCAAGGCACCTGGGCCAGCCCCAGTGATGTTCAGAGCCAGAGCAGAGCAAGGGGCAGCTAAAGGAAAGAAACCAGACAAATAGATTAATTAGTTTAAAATGCATTTTGCTATCCAGCAAGACTTAAAATCATTAACCGTGTGTATGAATATTTGGTGCAAGTCAGAAGGCAACCAGCTCATCTATCACTTTCCTCTTTAGAATGAGAGCCTGAACTGTTCACCGCAGTATTTTAGGAATTTGTTATTGCTGCACTGTTCTTCTACCCCGCCAGAATTTTTATTCTCTTGCTTTAATAAAAAAATCTGTTTGTTAGCAATGTAAGTCATATTTGCAAGTTGGGAAAAACTGTATCTTTAAGGATCAGAAAGTTTAATGGGTTTAAACTGATCACTGCAAATAATATCAGTTCAAGAACCCAATCTTGTGCTGAAATGAAATTTTAGGAGGTGGTTTACTCTCACAAAAGGAGAGATTTTGCAATTATTTTATCTTTAATTATTTTCATTACTTATTGCATGCAGAATTGTTTTCGTGGTATGATGTGGTAGGACAGGTGCGTATAACTTTCCTCCCAAAACAGTTTTATGAACATGTCAGAATCTGAAATTTCATGGCATTATGTCTCTATTTTATTCCTTCCAGAATTTATACTGAGGACCAAGTTGCATTTGCAGTTATATCCTTGTAAATGATCTTGGTAAAACTGAATTCTTCGGAAATTTTCAAACACAGAGTGATTTTTCTTGATATTCCAAAGGAACAGTTACAGGAACTGATTTGTGTGGTATCACAGTTTTGAAGAGATACCTGATGAGTGCTTGCAGGATGTAACACAAGATAAAAGAGATGAGATATTGGTGGTACAGGATGTCTGGAAATAAAGAGCAGTATTTCAGTGTGGATTGCATAATACAACATACAAGCCAAAAAGCTCATACCTGTCATGGTCAGGAGGAGTCTTGGAAGGAGTTGTTTAGCTGTTTTGCTGTCTGGATGAAAAGACAATTTGAGAATTTTAGCAAAAGATCACTCTGAATATTTTGTTTTCTGTTTACTCAAGGGCCAGATCTCTGTATGTGTAAATTTAGAAAACAGTCAGGGAGATCAAGAACCCACATTACAGACATTAAATAATTCCTGCTGAGAAGGCTTAACTCTAAAAGGTGAATGCTACTTTCTTTGAAATAATCTGATTGGAAGGACGTGATAAGACATTTCCTTGATGCACAAAAATATGTATAGATGTTTGAACATGTATTTCTTTGGATATAATCTGTCAAATGTAAATTAATATTGAATGTGTGGAAAAACCCCTTTTTACTAGTGTTTAGCAAGCTCGTAGGAAAAATGTTCTTCAATAAAGATATTTTCACTTATAGTAAGAAAAGGAATCCGTTATTCTTAACAATGTGAATACTTTGAAAACATAAACCATTAAAAAAAAAAGCACACAGGCATTCTTTAAGGATGTGTTTCAAGAGATTTTGCCGTAAATTTTCTATTCTGTTCTTTCTCTGTATGAACAGCCATGCAAGTTCAATGTGAACTGGAACGAAGAATTATATCTTTGATTTATGTACAGTTATTTAGTACAACATTTTCAGTTTTATTTATATGTTCTTCAAAATAAATCACCATGAAATACCTGAGCTTGCAAATTATGATTAAATTTATTTATTTTTCCAAAAGCTGTAGAGCCAGCAGTATTTCTCTCAACTTAGATCAGCCAGTGTATGAGCTAGTCCTTTGCAGGGTGTAGATGCTAGGGGTTTTCAGTTAGAGAGTCAGGAGCTTGTTGTAACTAAAGTGAAGGAGATATGTGCCATAGTGAAGAATGGATCATTTAAAAAGCCTGGAGAGCTGTATTCAGGAAACAGATTTTGAGAATGAATCTTGGATGACAGATTGTTAAAAGAAAGAGAGTTAGACTTACGGAGTTCATTACACCGTCAGAAAATACAAAATATTTCTTTAATCCAAGTGATGGAGGATGAAGGTTATATGCTTTTAGCAGGGAGTTTCTCAGCTATGATCCCCATTCATAATTTCTAACCACAAAAGGGGGATTAATTTCATGGATCCATAACTTCTATTATTTTGAGGTCAAATCAGAGCTTCCCTGAATGCTGACCCAGAATATCCACGGTGTGTTTTCTATGGATATAAATGAAGATATTCAAAACTGTATATATTTAATCTTGTCTAGAAAGGATAAACAATTATTATTTCATTACCGAAGCTACAGTGGATAATATATCACAGAAGTAATACTTGAATCATCAAATACTTCAGGTCAGAAGGAATCATCTGGTTCACTTCCCTGTTCAGAGCTGAACCAACCTCAAGGACAAGACGTAATAAATGAGTGCATAACTTGCAGAATTATTTTTTTGTCAGTTCTTCCTAAAAAAGAAGAAACTCTGACACACAAACCTGAAGGTGGTTAAGTCCTGAGAATTAGCTGGTATGGTAGAATAAAATGGAGAATGATGTGTGGTCAGGGAGTTCAGTGATGCTGGTTTTTTGAGGGCAAGAGTCTGTTGTGCTACTTAGTGCTAGTGAAGACAAAAAGAGAGGGAGTTTGGTATATTAATATTTGCAGTGCAAACAGTTGATGGTGCTGAGGGATGGAACAAAAACATAAGCTACCTACAGTCTGAAGGAAGAGAGATACAGTAGGTATATGAAACAAGTACATTTAAAAGTATTTTTCCATATGGGTATGCTTAATGGGTTTGAGATTGAAGCAGCTTTTTTACAATAAAAATGAGATATAAATTGCCTAAGGTGTTTTTCGGTTTGGTTTTGGTTTTGTGTTTTTTTGTTTTGTTTTGTTTTGTTTTTTGTCATTTTTGCCATTTCAAAACTGTTCTGAGCTAAAAATTATTGGGGAAATAGTAATTTCTAGACTACACATATGCATTAATGGAGTAGGAAATTTAGCTTTTTTTAACTGGCAGCTTCTGTATTCTGCTATAATTCTTTAAATGAAGGATGAGGAGAGATGGGTCAGCCAAGCTGAAAGCCTTTTATGAACATGTATGAATGAGATTATTAATGTATGTGTCTGCCTGCCACAGTGATGTATGCATTGCAAATTAAGCTGCACAGGTGGAAGGAATATTTTGGAGTTTGTCCCCCTGTTCCCCCAAGTGGGTTATCTAACCAACTTGCACAAATGGTATCTAGTTCAACCCCTTCTATGTAAAAATCAATCTTGTTTATATGTATATTTCACCTGAGTGTTTGAACCTACATTCTCAGTGCTGAGAAAAATATTTCCATGACTTCCCTAAGATATATGCAGTTACAAAGGGGGTGAGCACTGTTTCTGAAATATCTTTTACCTTTTCAGTGTAAATGAAGATGAATCTATTGCCAGGGAAGTGTAAATACTGAACAAATTATTGAACTACTGCTTCACCTCCTCCTTTGGATTACCAGAAAAAAAAAAAAAAACAAAAAAACAAACAAACAGCGTTGTGCTATAGAAATGTAGCTATTCGGTGTATACTTTATTAATGGATCTCAGCCTATGGTGTTGGGGTTTGTGTATTTGATTTTCACATGAGTGAGATGGGATGGAGGGGTAGGTGTCAAAATGAACTACATCTATGACTGGTTACAATTTGTTGTTCAAGAATACATCTGGCCAGAAAGTCATCTAGTACTGTTTTGATTTTCCTGAAAGGATGAATTCAACGTTTTGAGCAGTCACGTGTCCAGTGGATTTTATTTGTCATGAAACATTCATCTTCATGCAATAGTACCAGTTTTCATGAGAAGCTGTGATGATACATTAATCTTTCACTCAAAATGTTGTTAAAAACCCCGCAAATTAAACCAACATTAATTAAATGCTAACATGCATTTCATACAGAACTTTTCAACTTTTACTAATATAATTCGCATGAATATTGCAATGGTTTATTTGTTAAGTGTCTTCCATTGTACAGTCAGTGGCCAAACTGAAGAAAAATAGAGGAAGAGAAACTCTGTGTACTCACAATCACAAAAAGAGTACAACTTCTTCTTAGGTAGAATTTGAATGACATAACTTCTTTCATCTTTTAATTTTGTTTTCCAGAATGACAAATCCCCAGGGCGTTCCACAAGTCGATCAAGTAACATTTCAAAGGTATGTGAAATCTATTTATTTTGTATAGTACTTAAAGAAAACTAAGTTTAGCAAATATAATAAATTACCTTACTCCATTTAATCATATATGCGTAGTCTGATGTTTTCTTTATACACATCAGATTTTAAGATTTATGGTTACCATGTAAAATCTGTCTTAAAGTATAAATATACAATTAGTCATTACTGTAATATGTGTAATATTACAAAGTAAATTACAGATGCAATTTTTTTTCACCTGCTTTCCACAACTGCTTAATGTTATGTTAACACTTCGCCTTAAGATAGAATTACAGCTTGATTTTTCTCCTCCTGCCCTACCCAAATATCAACAGCTGTAATGTGTAAAGCTATGAGTGTGTCATCATTTTGGACTGAATTCTGAATTGCTTTTTCAGGGATTTATGATTCACTGGATCCAGGACTTTATATCTAGATGCTTTTTAGTTTCTAGGAAATGAAGAAGGGAAACTTTAGGAAAAGGCAAAATGTGATTTGTACTGGAGTTCTTTGTTTTTAACCCCCATTTGTCTGTAATTTTTGTTCAGACGTGGCTGAAATCTATGCCAAGAATCCAGGATATACAGGAGGTAGAAGATAAGAACTCAGTAATTGTATGAATCCCAGCCTAAACCTCTGCTATGTATTATGTTTGTTTCTGAAGATTAAATATTTCGTATCCAGTTCCAGTGCAAGCACAGTATCCTTAAGCCCCTTTCCCACCATAGTACTGCCAGTGGGGTACACACTGTGAAACTACTTTATTCTCAGAGCCGTAAAAAAACCCCACCCCATTAATTTAATTAAATAAAATATTTATATGTTAGGTTCTGCTCTTTTATGTTAAGAAGGAAAAAAAAAATGCAGGAAAAAACATGTAGAATATATCCAGCCTGTTGTAGGATATGGCTGAATCTCTTCCTGATTTGTTGCCTATTTTAAAAAAGTATATAGTTACATACTTACAAGCTTGATTACAGTGAATTGTATGTATAATTTTCACTGAGTTTCAAATGCACACTGTAGTTATAATTGCTGTAAATCTATGTTGATCTGATATTACATTTTCTGCTTTTTTTAAGTCAGTTACGATGGTTACACTGTGACAAAGCATAAATATATTCACTGACAAGAGAAACATGGCAGTGACTAACATCTATTTTGAAGTAATTTCTGCAGGAATCAGTGTAGATCCTTATTAGAAAGGGGTACTTGCACCTTTTTAGTAGAAAGTTAAGAAGTAAGGTTTTCAGGCATGCACTTCATCTTTTTCTGAAGTATAGCATCATTCATGTTTTTCGATCAATTTTTCTATGTGAAGCTACCTGCCAGTGAAGCTTTTCAAATGCTGAAAGACATTTGATTGGAAATCCAGTTTCCAGTTTGTTGTCCAATTCAAAATGTTTGGTTTTTTTTTTTTGTTTTTTTTTTTTTTTTTGTGTGAAACAGAAGGGTGTATATTTGTGTATACCTAGAAAAGCAAACATCTGTCTTTTCAGGTTAATATCACATGGCGCAAAGTAACAGTAACAAATATTGCACCTCACAACCAGATTTGAAGCCTCTAGGTGATGTAAACTACCTACCAAAGGCAAGAGTTGAATTCTGTGCAGTGTCGGATCTTGCACACAACAAAAATTTCAACTGACAGAAAAATTAGAAAACCTTTGTCTAAAAATATAAATTATACTAACCAAAACATTGTCTTTTACTGCTTTCATTTGCCTGTATGAATAAGCTAAAAAGGGTCAAATAGTTTTTAATTTTAATAGTTATTGTGTATTGTGTATGCCACCCTTGGTTGTGTGTGGAGCTCCTGCCCCGGAGCAGAGTAGGTGTTCCCCGATATTGCTAGATTTTGTACCACCCTGTTGGTGAAATGGAATATAGCAAAGATTCTGCAAATACAGATTCAAATTTCATAATGCTCTTAAGCTGTTTATTCAGAGTGGACACCTGAGGTTTGCAGTGTATGCTTGGGCAATTTGCGTACTAGGTACATTAACTCTGAATTACATGGTGTTACAGATTAAATGGAATTGTTGAACATTGAATATGTCTTATCTAGACATAATGAGAAAGAATGGCTTTAATTTGTTTGTTATTTACTAGATACTACTTAGTACATACCTATTCAATCTATAGATTTTAAAAACAAGCATTCCCAAGAGAGGCAGGGAAAAATCAACACTACAGTTTTACTATTCGCTTTTTCTGTCCACTGAAAGCACAGAAATTTAGCATGTTGCGAAGATTTTTCTTATCTTGCATACAAGTCTCTGGTAAGAATTTCAGTAATAAGCTATTTTAGGCAAATGAAAGGACAAAACTTAAAATATTTAGATACGATTTCAATATGAAATTATTTGTAAAGTCTACTGTAATATGTTACTAAGTAAAAACATTGCCTGGCCAATATGTTTCTGTAATATACTATTATAAAATTGATCTAACTGGAATGTTTACAAATTATTTTAATGTAACTATAAAATTATGTATCTCTATCTGTGAAAGTTTTGTTTTGTTTTGGTTTTTTAACGTGCATAATGGACTATTTCATCATTATGGCAGGAGTAAGGCAAAATCCTGCACTTTAATTCTGTTAACCCGACTCAACGTTGAATCAATGACTTATTTCATTTGTGGGCAAGAGTACATGAACAGTGAAAACTAAGTGTGATAGCTCTACAGCTCCCACTGCCCCTTTTCCCCATACAACACCATGCTTTACCCCTCCTGCCCGTGGCCCTCCTGAGCCACGTCTGCACCATTTTGGTTGGCGGGTGGGAGGGAGAGAGAACATTTGCTCAAACTAATTTCCTGATCCATCTCTGTGTTCTTTTCCAGCTCATTACAGTGACCTTAAATATCCCATTTGTGGGGTAAGCACTGAGTTAAATGCAGGTTTTTGAAAGTACTCTTGCATCATTTTGTCCTCTCGCTCTTCCACACTCTGCCCAATTCTGTCTGCCTGTTTCCTGCTACTCCTGACTGACAGTCAGCTGTGACTGTCTTCAGTGAATATTTTTAACCCTTAAACTTTCTCCCCACCCATTTCCCGTGGTGCTGGTAGTAGAGACAACTTTATTATTCTTTGTAAGAGATAGTCTTGTGCAGTGTTCTGTATTTCAGAATTAGAATTATTTTATCTGGCTAAGTAAATTAAAAACTTGACCTTATTCATTACTTATTTGCCACTGCTCAGTTCTGTGCACTGGTGGATTTTTTTCAGTAAACTTTGTATGTCTTCCTAAATATGTGCATAATTTACGAGGAAAGTCTGAGAAGGATCTGGTGGATTCATTTCTTTCTGTTGTGGTTAATCAGTGGAATAAATCTTGTGTTTGAGGTACAGTCCGTAGATGTCATGCTTATATGTGTTTCTGAGGCTGCCTGGTTATGTTAAAATGATTTCTGGAAGAACTGTTTCTAACACATTGTAATTATCTTTCTGCATGTTAATTACTATTCAACAGCTCCTTAGAGAAGGATGCTTTCTCAGCAGTAAGATTTTAAATTCTCTGATGGGAACTTTGGACTTCTTTTCAGTGCAGAGAAACTCAGGCTTGGAGCAAATTGCCCAATTTTTGTTTTGGCTCAATTCCTTCTCAAAAGCCTGGAGCAGGTGTTAGAACACTTTTTATTTACAGGTCTCTGAAGCATCCATCTAATAAAACTGTTGAGCTACATCAGGAAGAAGTGAGGTGATCATTTTGGAGCATTCTGTGTGACAATATTCATTGGTCTAATTTAGAATATGGAAAACAACAAAGAAGGGAAAGAAGGAAAGAGTTGATTTTACTAAATGTTTATGCAGTTTCTATACTGATTTCCTGAATCAGGTTGGGCTCCTCTCAGTGAGATACAAATGAAAACCAAAAGGCACCAGCATGTCAACGTAGTGCCCAATAAATTTTTAGATGAAAAATTTATTGTTGCCAATTTACTGATTGTTTATTTGGGCTACTTGGTTTGTGATTTTGAAATTTATTTTGCAAACAGTATCAATTCATGTAATATAATATTTTATTATTTTTAATTATACATTTCCATTTAATCTCTTGCATTAAAATGAAATGTTCTTTCCCATAGGTTTTGATATTCTCTAATTTTTCATCATCTCTCAATACAAGATGAATGTAAGAAGGGTCCTGTATCACAATTTGAGTGATTTACACAACTTGAAGCGGAACTCACTATTACACACTATGCATTTTTTTAAATGGGTAGACATATCACCATGTCTTTGGCAGTGATACCAACAGAGAATGTGTAATATCTTCTGTCTGAATTATTGTAAGCACAAATGGTAGATTTTTATGGTGGAAAGGGCATAAAGAAACTTATATGCTCTTTTTTAAAGAAGTTCATATCACGGACTTTGATAGCCTGAAAGAGGATTGCAGCATCTCCAAGACATCTGTTGCATGACTGAATCCTAAAGAACAACTGTGTGTCCCCTTGCATTTTGCTACAGGGGTCTGCACTGCTACAAGTTGATCCACATTTGTTATTCTTATTTTTCCTTCCCAATTTCACACTGATCATAAATGACAATTGTCTTCCAGATTGGTGGGTTTTTTTTCAAGGAACGTGTAGCTCCATTCTTTCCAAGCATAGCTTCTAGATTACTGTAGTAAGATTCTGAGAGAAAACTTCAAGCTTTCAAAAAAGAAAATAAAACAAGAAATAAATAAGTCCTTGCTCTTGTAAAGTGCAAAATGTCAGCCTTCAAACGTGCTGTTACAGTGAATAATACCGTGTATACAAAGTAGTCATTAAAATATGAGTGTAAATGTTATGTTAGTCATCTAAATGATTCTTCTTGCTCATAAACAGAATCATTAATATCAAAGGTGAAGACTAACCTGGCACTTAACTCTCATATAGTGAAAAAAACAACAGCACAAAGTAAACAAGTTAGAGAGAAGTATTTTGTTCAACAAAGCATAAGGCAGAGAAAGGCAAAAAAACCAGAACCAGATACAATGGCATAACTA